AACACGTATGGGTCTACCAACTTTACGAGTGCTTGTTGGGGAATGCTTGCCAACATTCACACAGTTAACAAGTACCAAGAACACCACATATCGTTGTTAGACCAGATGCTCACAAGACCTCCCCACACCAGCTGTTTAGGTGTTCAGGGACCAATGTCGCAGGATTAAGATCGCCTCAATATTAACCTAACTTAGCTAATATTACCTTATGACTAATATATTTAACTAGACCTTACTAACATATTTTAACCTAATCTTACCCAACCTAACCCCCCAGGTAGCGTTAGGGTGTATTAACAGGTAAAATAAGCTGGGGGTGTCCCATCGTCGTGACCCCAAAATAAGAATGACTCCCTGAGAGTAATATTCTCAATCTTTTCGTTAAGTTAGTACATTATAAAGGGCACATAACTATAGTGGAAAATAACAAGGTCTATATTGAACAACGAACTCTTGACCTAAAGCAATGTTTACAAAAAAGTCAATGTGACGTCAGTGTGAGTTGCCAACTACGTACTTGAATATAACAAGTTGGTCGCTGTGTTGTCATATTCGCGAGTAGCCAAGTAGCAAGTGCTGCTGCTTTTGTATGGGTTGTTATTCTTATATGGATGTTGTATGTGGTCTGTTTGTCTCTTGCCATGTGGGAGCACCGCCTGTATCCCATTACCATCTTGCTGGTGAGTTGCCAAGTACTGTATATTTCAAGTAAATAAAGTACAGTAGTAGATTTGAATGATATTTGTGTATTCATCTGCGTGTGTATGAATGAATGGTTGTGTTTGTATTGTTTGAACTGAGAAGTCCAAACGATAGGCGAGAGAAAGTATGAAAAAGAAGAGAAGAGAAGAGTAGGTGTAGGTTGACAAGACAAACTTAGAAAAGATAAATTCAATTCTCTCTCTCGCTCGCGTGCGCGGTAATCATGGTTAGTTGTCTTACTGCACCAGAATGTGTGCGATTGTGTGTGGGCTTGCTTGCGTGTTTGCGGGTGTGTGCATGAATGCCTGCCTGCTGAGTGTGTGTGTATGTATGTTAACTGGGTCGTGGGAGCGGGCACGTGGTGGTAGTGAGGTGTGCAGGTCTGGCCTTGATGCACCCGTCTGCTGGCTTCGTGTCACTGTTGAAGCTTACTCCACACTCACCTTCCTGCCACACCTCACCCAACTTGAATTCTAAGGTCAGTTTGTTAGTGGTGTTCCCAATATAGATCCTCAGCAAGTCTTAGGTTAGGTTAGGTCATCTTGGGTTAAGTTCGGTTAAAGGTTTAGATTACATTATGTAAAGGTTAGGTTAGGGTTGGTCATGTTAAGTTAGGTCAGGTCAGGTCAGGTCAGCCATTGCGATACAAATCACCAATTTGTATAATTTTATTTCCATGGCAACAAAAACCCAGCGGACCAGCCAAGTCTATTTTAAACTTGCGTGTCAGTTTATTCAGTGAGGCAGCATGAATTACAATATGCTGGTACAGGACCATACTTGTGTTGGTGTTAGTGGTGGTGAAGGTGTATGAACATTTACGAATATCATGCATTATCGATGTTTGTAAATATTTATACTGTGATGTATATCTATACCCTTCATAGCTTACTGGATACCGGTATACACACCCCCTCAACCCCCAAGCACAAACAGGACATCATCCAAGGACCAGATCACCATCTCGTAGGTAAATATTTTCCTAGTGATGTGTAACGTAAGAGGACTTCCTCTGGCTCCCTGAGTGAAACGAGGAGCCAGCTGTCAGGCCAGATGGTGACAACACTATACCTACGAGCCAGCTGTCAGGCCAGATGGTGACCACACTATACCTACGAGCCAGCTGTCAGGCCAGATGGTGACCACATTATACCTTCGAGCCAGCTGTCAGGCCAGATGGTGACCACACTATACCTACGAGCCAGCTGTCAGGCCAGATGGTGACCACACTATACCTACGAGCCAGCTGTCAGGCCAGATGGTGACCACACTATACCTACGAGCCAGCTGTCAGGCCAGATGGTGACCACATTATACCTACGAGCCAGCTGTCAGGCCGAGTGACCACACTATACCTACGAGCCAGCTGTCAGGCCAGATGGTGACCACACTATACCTACGAGCCAGCTGTCAGGCCAGATGGTGACCACACTATACCTACGAGCCAGCTGTCAGGCCAGATGGTGACCACACTATACCTACGAGCCAGCTGTCAGGCCAGATTGTGACCACACTATACCTACGAGCCAGCTGTCAAGCCAGATGGTAACCACATTACCTACAAGCTAGCTCTCAGGCCAGATGGTGACCACATTATACCTTCGAGCCAGCTGTCAGGCCAGATGGTGACCACACTATACCTACGAGCCAGCTGTCAGGCCAGATGGTGACCACACTATACCTACGAGCCAGCTGTCAGGCCAGATGGTGACCACACTACCTACAAGCTAGCTGTCGGGTACACTGGAATTTGAACTAACACACTTATACTCTCAGTCAGCTTGTATTACGTGTCTGTGGAGGTGTGGGTCTGTGTGTGTGTAGCAGACCTCAAACATTTTAACACGTCCGCGCACACGGGATCCAAGAATCCGTACTACTTCAAGGTCAACCTCCAAGGTGGTCCTTCAAGTACCTGACGTGTGTGTGTGAGAGGACGAGTTGTGTAACTTCTCGAGATTTAGGTTTTTTTAGATTGTCCCCGAGGGGGCTAGTTTATTGGGCACCCCTTACATCCTGTGCAACGTCTCGAGTCTCGCCAACAAGATGTCGAATATGGACCTTCTTAGTGACCCTTTTGTACCCTGTGAACCTGTAGTGGGTCTGTGGGTGGTGGTGTACGGGCTGGAGGAGTGGGTGGTGGTGTGGCGGAGTGGGTGGTGGTGTTACGGGGTGGAGTGGGTGGTGGTGTACGGGGTGGAGGAGTGGGTGGTGGTGTACGGGGTGGAGGAGTGGGTGGTGGTGTACGGGGTGGAGGAGTGGGTGGTGGTGTGCAGGGGTGGAGGAGTGGGTGGTGGTGTGGGGGTGGGTGGTGGTGGATGGGGTAGAGGTGGGTAGTGGTGTATGGGGTAGAGGAGTGGGTGGTGGTGGATGGGGTAGAGGTGGGGGTGGGTGGTGGTGTATGGGGTAGTGGAGTGGGTGGTGGTGTATGGGGTGAGGAGTGGGTGGTGGTGGATGGGGTAGAGGTGTGGTGGTGTGGGGTGGGTGGTGGTGGATGGGGTGGGAGTGGGTGGTGGTGTGGGGGGTGGTGGTGGATCGGGGAGTGGGTGGTGGTGTATGGGGTAGAGGTGGGTGGTGGTGTATGGGGTAGAGTGTGGGTGGTAGTGTATGGGGTGTAGGTAGTGGTGGTTGGCAGCTAGCTGGTGATGGAGGTTGGCAGCTAGCTGGTGATGGAGAGGAGGTTGCAGCTGGTGATGGAAGGAGGTTGGCAGCTAGCTGGTGATGGGAGAGGAGGTTGGCAGCTAGCTGGTGATGGAGAGGAGGTTGGCAGCTAGCTGGTGATGGAGAGGAGGTTGGCAGCTAGCTGGTGATGGAGAGGAGGTTGGCAGCTAGCTGGTGATGGAGAGGAGGTTGGCAGCTAGCTGGTGATGGAGAGGAGGTTGACAGCTAGCTGGTGATGGAGAGGAGGTTGGCAGCTAGCTGGTGATGGAGAGGAGGTTGGCAGCTAGCTGGTGATGGAGAGGATGGCCAGTAAGAGACTATGCTTAATATTTGGCACAAGTCCTACACATTCTTGGCCAGTACAATGACCAAGAAGTATTATGCATCAGGTGAGTCCTCCCAATAAGTACACGAGTACAGAGCTAATATTAGAACATAGCTGATTTGTACTGTGGTGTTAAATCTTGTTAAAAGATGTTTACATACTGTGTTGATAATGTACATTGTCTGTAAAGGTGTACTTATTGTGTGTAGAGATGTACATAGTGTGCAAAGGTATATATTCCCACGAATATTAGAAATGTAATATTAGGTGTTGAATATTGTTCACAACTGTACATTAACTCTTCTATGTGTGTTTAGAGGCGGCCAAGTAATGATGACTTGTTGCCAGACAGTTACCAGGCTGGTCCCCATGACGTACTTGTGTGTATGTTAGTACTGCCATAACGCGAAGAAAAAAAAATATTCATCTCAGGTTGCCAGTCCACCTTGATGCAGAACCTGCCACTCAAGGTCAGCTGTTTAAAGGACCAGCTGGGAGTTGCTAGGGAACTGACTGCCCAGGAGTTGCTAGGGTCAGAACCAGCTGCGTGATGGTCGTCACCAGCTGGTCACAGGAGGGTAATTGACGGGTTGTGGTAGTTCGGCCATTATGCCTTGTTACTTCCTGTGGTCGGTTAGTTGTACACACACCAAAAAGTATCTTGACGGGTCCGAGGAATATCAAAATGAACACTGCGGTAGGGTTGTCAAAATCCTTCTCCCTTCGTCAAATTGTTAACACAAAATCGTAAATATACTTTTTGGGTCGCCGTCTGGTTCCTCGGGAGATAAATATAGCTTGTAAGGGAAAATATAGGACTTCTTACATAATACTCCCTCCTCTCCCTCGCTCACCTCTCCCTCCTTCCGTCCCTCTCACCGTGGACCCCTCAAATATTCTTAAAGGCTTTAAGAATATTTAAGTGACCTTCCTGTGTGTGCTTGTTAGCGGGTTTGTGTGTGTGTATCAGTTTATCTAAGGCTTAAAATAACAGATATGTTCTCAAAGTTAAGAGAAATATTTTCCACTAAACGATGAAAAGGACTCGGGTGTTGCCCAGTTAACGCTTCGAGACAATGAAGATGGCGGAGAAACTATTTAGAGACTCACTACTATAAAATGTTGAAGTGAAATTTGTGGTCTGTCAACACTGAAATTTGGTCTTGGGTAAATTTTATTATTTTTTGAACTGAACATGTGGCAAGGAAGACTCGTAACATAAAACTCAGATGACACTAAGTAACACTCGTAGCTCACAAGTAACATTACTTGTAGTTTTCCTCATCTGTAACATCAAACCACATCTTTACAGAGTTGTCTGAGGAGTGGGCGACGATCCGTGAGCCAGTGGTGGAGGGGGTGACATTCTACTGCAAGTACCTGGGTTCGACGCTGGTGGATGATCCGAAGGGGGAAGCATCGACAGCGGAAGCGATCAAGCGCATCATTCACGCCGCTAAGCAGGTGGCCCGCAAGCCCGAGCGTGTCTCTCTTCATGTGTCTCTACAGGGCATCCGTATGTCCGACACTACCACCAACGACCTTCTCCTCCATACTTCTATATACAAGTGAGTTCCGTCCCCCTAATCTACCTCCTCCTAATTACCGGTACTCTACCTCGTCCTTCTTTCTCGACCCCCCTCTTACTCCACCTCCATCATTGATCTCATCCTCAGTAAAGAAAGGAGTTATCAATCATGTTCCCACTATCAACATTGTTAGTGCTAACGTGTATGATAGCTCAGCAGCGGCACTGTAAAACGTGGTAAACAGGTCAGCAGCAACACACTTACAACGTTTGATAACCTCTGCAAGATAACAAGTAGTGGGAGGGGTGCAGGAAGAGAGGGAGGTGAGCTCTGTGGTGACAACAAAAGAACGTCAGGGTTAACACGGCTCATAATAATTCACAAAGGTAACATTTAAATCGTCTTGGAACCGTATGTCCTGTGAGCTACCTGCTCACTCTCAAATAACAGCCCACCCGGGAGTGTGGATCCTGGAGATGGTGTTAGGTCAACGCACTCAATGCCAGCAGAAGCGTCATCATGATCAGGGGGGAGGGGGGTGTTAAACAGCAGTGGATCAGCCGCTTGGATCTTGACTTGCTTACAACTTGGGAGGCTGTGGCGTCATGTCCCAGTTGTCCGATTCCTCGACCGTGACTCTAGTGGTGATGGTGTTCGGCTTCGTTTCAGTAATCGGCATCAACTTATGTGGATTATGTATTTTGATCATTTTGGATTGGTGTGAGAGGACCGGCCAGAGTTCACCAGTGTGTGGGGAAGGTGGAACACGGGAAACTGAGATAGATATATATATATATATATATATATATATATATATATATATATATATATATATATATATATATATATATATATATATATATATATATGGGTTTAAACGCAAAGGTTTACTTTCCTTTAAGGACAATGTCTCAAAATCTGTATCAATATAATTATTTCTTTGAATCAAATTAATAAAGTAACTTGGTACTGAACAGTACACAGTAGATAGAACATGGCGCTATAACCCTAACACACACACACACACACACACACACACTTGACTTATGCGCTCTGTACGCAGTCAGCATAATGATCTAGTTCACTATAATGCGTAGTACAGTATTGTCAACAAATATTTAGTTGAAAGTTTAGTTTTTAATCAGTTTTTTGTTGTCTGTGAAATGAAGCTAAAATAGTGAGGCGTCATTGTCATCACCTATTAATATGCATTAGTGTCAGATTGGAAAAAAAAATTAAGTGTACCCTGAACACAGGAGAACTTGATAAAAAAAAATTCTATATTGTGAGTGTGTAGGGAGTGTTGGGTTGGCGCCACCACCAAGGGGCCTGTCTCGCTCACCTCGGGGAGGATCGGATATTGTTCTTGTCATCACTAGGAACTTACGGGTATCCTAATGTGTTCTATATTTGTTTACCTATTTCTGTAATATGCCTTTATGTACCCATAGGTGTATCTAAAGTAATTGAAGTTCCTCATAAAAATTAACAGGTACTTTGTGAGTTTAATTAAAAATTCTTGTATTATTTGTTAAGATTTAAAACAAGAAATATATGGCCGAAACGGACTGAGCTGAAGGTGATTTTTGATCGAAACTGATCAAATGCGAGAGAATTGTCGACTTTCGGACGAGCGTTGTTGTTGTTTTGATGTGATTGTTTCTCTTCAGTTATTGTAACGTTTTGTTCTGAAAAATTATCAAGTGCTGTACAGAATGTCTTTCAATTGGTTGATAGTCATCCATTATTGGTTCAGAACATTAGGGAATTAAGAGATTAGACCCAAGATGTGCTGTGAGGGTCTCTGCTGTCTCGGGGGAACAATTCAATACATTATTATTGTGTACATACTGTACTGTACAGCTGTGTCCAACCCGAGTGCAGGACAAAAGTCCCCCAGGAGAAATAATAAGAATTTTTAAAATAATTATTAAATTTTTTTACAGTTTATGAACACTTCTCTAACCTAACCTTCGGGAATTCTGTTATAGTTATAAAGAAGTATACAAGGAATGTTTATTAAATTTGCAAAGACGTATGTTTTGTCTACTGGGGTAAATTACTCCCTTGACATTCAGTGACCTCACTGGGCCCTAGGGTCACCTCCGTAAATACAGAATGAACATGAAGGTAAAATATGTCGTCTTTTTTTATTATTTATTTAATAATGTTCTATATCAAAATTGAAAGTTATAATATTCTAATTATTTAAATTGTAATAATTTCATGTTTAAATCTATATATTTTTAATATTTCTAATGACCCTCTCTTTAACATAAAAACAGGGGGCTTCTGTCCTATTTTGCACTTTTACTGAGGGGCTTTTGTACGGGCCCAGTCTAACCCAGATCTCTGCGAGACTTGAGCCGGACGTGGGTGGCCAGGTGGGGGCCCAGGCTTAATATTATACCACAACGTAAAGTAACGCTTGAAGAATGACTGTTGGGTATGTACACACGTGTTATTTCAATGAGAAGTGACAGAACAACGCGCATGAGTCCTAACACCCAGAACTTTGCGAACCAATTTGGGGGGTAAAATTGTGTTGTATTTTGTATGTAAGGCTAGGGTATGAATAAGTAATGCGTGGTTAATTTTCCTTCGCGCTCGCGCGCGCACACACACACACACACACACACACACACACACACACACACACGGAGTGAAATAAGGACAAGTCGTATGTGATACTTAAGGTTAAAGCGTATCTCGAGGCAACAACTAGAGTGATGGTTGTAGTTTGTTGTTATAACGTGTATTTGCTGGTGTAAGGTTTGTTCTGCCTTTGGTTGCTGTAAATATGAAGGATGGGGTTCAGCTCCGACGGGAAAAATCACAGTCCACGTGATGGTATATTGCCAGCAATTGGTCGTCTTGTACATTTTCTTAACAAGTCACTGGAATATCACTTGAAGAACCGGAGGCCGTCTGGAGGAGGAGGACCGGACGCCATCTGGAGGACAACGACCTTATCCATATGGAGGGGGACCTGCAGCCCTCGAGGAAGAACTGCGTCATACACACAAGACACTACTATGGCACGTAGTGAACACTCGACCATAATGTTGAAGCATCAGTTATAAAGTTACTGTTCCTGTTGTGCTGTGAATTTATCAGATAATTTGTTGTTTAATTTTATTTGCAAGGCATGTGTATACGGGGCTGCCATATCACTAGTCCCCAGCAACATAAATATCATAAAAGATTAATGTGTTAACTATGTTGAGTTTACAATGTGTTTTTACCAATATTGTAAAAGAATGACCTCAGAGCTCGGCAGTGGGGTTTCATAGCGCGCACTTAGCCAAGTGAAGCATTTGTAAACAAGATGAATTCTGGGTCAAGTAGTCTGATATCACCAACACATTGAGATGTCATGACAGATTTGGTTTACTGATAACTGTCTGTTGGCGGGTGACATGACTTAACTTCGCCATCAGAATATTGTATGGCTTTCTGGAACCTTGCAACACTCGACAAGGCTCGGCATTCATTAGAGTCTTCTGGGTTATCAGTATCATCGCTTTAGCTTTGTTTTATAATATCTGGTGGTGATAGCACTTATTTAGGGTTGATTTTGTCAGGGTAGAGAAAGACAAGGAACGGAAATAGAGGTGAAAATTAATGAAGTTTGTTTAGTAGCTGGCTTGGGCGGGTCTTGAGGGGTACATGATGCGTCATCTACCTCGGCCGCCCCCCCCAATCCTCCCTCCACACATCCACTCCTTCCCTCTTCCTCCTCCCTTCATACGTCTACTTCCTCTCTCCTTCCTTTGGTACGACTCTACGAGTTGGTGGGTGGTTGGGTGGGTATTTTTGGATGGTTAGGTCACTGAATGCGAGTTGCTTGGTGGACGAGTTTTAAGGGTGGGTATGTGTGTGTTTGTGGTGGGTGGATTAAGTATTAAGATTCTAGTCAGGTGTGTCGTTCAAGCCGCCCCAGCAGCACCAGGATGGGGGCAAGAGGAGGACTGTTCTTAGTGACCTTGGAGTCACGGCTACAAGATAGCTGGTTTGAGTAAACAAACAAGCCACACTTTTGACTTACGTTACACGACCGGTTACATAAGAACATAAGAATGGAGGAAACTGCAGCGGGCCTATTGGCCCATACTGGGCAGTCCCGTTTACACCCAACCCCTATTGCTCATATGAGCATCCAACCTATGTTTGAAGCAATTCAGCGTATTCGAGTTAATGATGATATTTGGTAACTTGTTCCATTCATCCACTACTGTTTCCAAACCAGTGTTTACCTATTTCACGCCTAAATCTAAATTTGTCTAATTTAAAACCATTGTTACGAGTTCGCTCCTGGTTGGACAATTTGAGTACCTTTGTAATGTCCCCTTTGTTTAGCCCTGCCTTCCACTTATACACCTCTATCAGGTCGCCCCTCGCTCTACGTCTCAAGGGAGTGGAAATTAAGATGCTTTAACCTGTCTCTATACTCAAGGTTCCTAATGCCCGGGATTAGTCTTGTCATTCTCCTCTGAATTCTTTCCAAGGATTCTATATCCATTCTGTAATACGGTGACCAGAACTGAACTGCGTAATCCAGGTGTGGTCTCACAAGCCCAAGATACAGTTTTAGGATGACCTCGCTAGTCTTGTAACTAACACTCCTTTGTATGAACCTAAGTACTTTATTAGCCTTGTTACGAGCAAAAACACATTGTTTACTTGGCTTCAGGTTCCTACTTATCATTACTCCTAAATCTCTCTCGCAGTCGGATTTCTCTATGGCATCGTTGTTCATCTGGTATCTGGTTTCCCTGTTTACATCTCCTATACTGAGTACTTTACATTTGTCGACGTTGAATTTCATCTGCCATTTTTCAGACCATTCGAAAAATTTGTTTAGATCTTCCTGTAGTTTTGCGAGTCCTCGTCAGATTTGATAACACGTCCTATTTTAGTGTCATCAGCAAATTTACTTATGTTGCTGTCTATGCCGATATCTATGTCGTTTATGTATATAATAAACAATAATGGTCCAAGTACTGAGCCTTGGGGAACTCCACTTGTGACGTTGCTCCAATGGGACTTAGTGCCGTTAATGCTCACTCGCTGTTTCCTGTCCTGTAACCACGCCCTAATCCATTTAAGGATGTCACCTTTGATGCCATGAGCTTCTACCTTTCTAATTAGTCTTTCGTGGGGGACTCTGTCGAAGGCTTTACTAAAGTCGAGATATACCACATCATAATTGTGCCCCTCGTCCACCGATTCGAAAACTGATGAAAAGAATGTTAATAGATTAGTTAGGCAAGAACGTCCGCTTGTGAAGCCATGCTGGGAATCATTGATCAATCGGTGCTTCTCCAGGTGATTTCGAATAGAGTTTGAAATGATTGCTTCCAGTAATTTGCCTACTATTGATGTTAGACTGATTGGGCGGTAGTTAGAGGATAGTGATCTATCCCCCTTCTTGAAAATCGGTATTACATTCGCTATCCTCCAGGATTCTGGTACTACACCTGTTTTTAAGGACATGTAAAACAACTTTGCTAAGGGCATACTAAGCTCTTCCTTACATTCCTTTAATACTCTGGCAAATATCTCATCGGGACCAGGTGACTTATTAGGCTTTAATTTGTCTATTTGCTTACTAACATCGTTACTAGTCACTACTATCTCACTTTGTTTTCTTCACTATCTCTGAATAGAGTCGGTGCCTCGGGTATCATGTTTAAATTTTCGGTGGTGAAAACTGTTGAAAAATATTTATTCAAATTATTGCTCATTGCTCCATCGTTATCAGTGAGCTCGCCGGAGTCTGACCGTATTGGTCCAATCTTTTCTCGTGACCTTTCCCCTAGTGAGGTCAGAACAGTAGTACGGTAGTGGATATTTTAATGAGCCTCTCCAATATTGTATATTTTTTTAATAATTTTTTGAAACCCAATGACTTGATTAATGATAACGTCTCTGGATGTTTAGTCCTGTAGTGGATTTCTCCCCTACAAACGCTGTTTGTCGCTGCGTAGCCGACCCCACGAATTCCCCAGTGTATGCCTCGTAGTCTGGGTCAACCAGCGCCGCCATACGCCACGGAGCGGGGGTCAACTACTAAGCCACGCCAACCCCTGCCATTTAAGACCTGACCTCGTGGTGATCGCTCAGTCACACTCTCCAACCCTCTCTCACCATGAACGGTTACGAGTTTGATAACGTGGCGCGGATACGTCCGGATACGCCGACCTGCCCCAAGAAATTAAACCTCCTAGTTCTCCAGAAGTTCTTTGAAACTAATGGGATCGTGGGGGTCACCAAGGTGGAACGACTGAAGCTCCATGGTGACATCAAGATCACCTTCGCGGAGAAGGGTATGCCCGTACAGCTCGCGGAGATTCCAGACATCAACGGCATTCCATTTAAAATGATTGCCTACAAGTGGGACAACCTGAAGCTGGGTGTAATCTCCCACGCCGAAATTGCCCACATGGACCAAGCAGAGCTGAGTGAGCTCCTCAAGGGGCAACTCCAAGTTGTGAAGAAGCTGTCCGACACTCTGCCCTCATCGGACACCATACAACCTTACCCAAGGAGGCTCAACTGGTGTGGGTAACTGTGCCAGTCAAGCCCTACTGCAGACCGAAACGCTGTTACAAATGCCAGCACTACGGACACACTGTCAACAAGTGTGAGGCGCAGGAAGACACCTGCTCCATGTGCGGCAGCCCCGGACACCGCTACACGGTCTGCCCCAACGCAGTGAAAAAATGCGCTGCCTGTGGCGGCCCACATTCCTCCGCCGATCGGACCTGCCCGAAATGGAAGGAGGAATGTAGGATAGCCAAGGCTCGACTCGACAAGAAACTGAGCTACAAAGAGGCCCTCCTTGCTGTACGCTCCCAAGACAAGAAAAAACCAGCAGAAAAAAAACCAAGAAAAGAAAACTCAAGAAAAGACACCCGCCACACAGAATCAAGAACACCACGAGGCCCGTGGAGCTGAAGCCCACGTGGTCAACCTCACCGTCTCCGACTTCTTCCACACCTATGAGGACATAAAACACGAGGAAGACGAACAACAAGACCCAAACACGAATGAATGGACACTTCAAGAGAGCAAGAAGAGGAGGAGAGTTAGAAGAAAATCTACATCAAGCTAAGAAGAATACCAAGACATTTCCTCCACACAAGAAAACAACACACACAATCTAGCCGACCAAGCACTGAGAATCCATGGCCCAACCCAACACGCACCTGACGCTTGACCTGACGCTAGCCTGACTGTCCTGTCGCCTCCTGGCCGCGTCCGGGTGAGTTGCTGCTGCCTCCAACTTATACTCCCTCACGCAAGCGGTGTTTAGCCACTGCACCTATTCTCTCCTCCTAAAATTCGCTTCAATCCTCCCTTTATTCTTGCCCTGAACCTCCTTCCCCCCTGTCACTAGCATTTCATGTCATGATCGCTCTCTTACTACCTACACCAACCAGCCAGCAACACCTCCTCCGCCTGCCTGGCGGTCCTCGCTCCCGCCAGAGAGCATGGCGACCCACAAGCTGGTCCTCCTCTGAGCATCCTCACCAACCAGCTCTCTTCTAGCTACAGCCGCAGCAAGCTACACCACCTCCTCCGCTGCTGCCTGGCGCCTCTCGCTCCCGCCGGCGAGCATGGCGACCCACAAGCTGTCTTCCTCTGAGCACCCTCACCAACCAGCTCTCTCTTCATCACGCTTGTAACCATGCTGCCTTCCCAGCACCAAGCTGCATTGTACATCCAATACAACATGTATACAGAGAGCACATTGTGAGTTTCCTTTCTCCATCCCATCCTGAGTGTGAACCCAAACAACCCATACCCCACGGTCCTAAACAGGAGTGATTGAATTGTCCATTTTAGGATTTGTGTGATTTGTCCAGTGAAACTGTTATCTACTGTGTGGAATATTGTCCAGTGAAACTATTCCAGGTTGAATTTTTTCTCCATTCCTGGTTAAATATTTTTGGGTAAAATTTTGTCCAATTCTAGTTAAATTTTGTCCAATTTTGGTTAAATTTTGTCTAATCCTGGTTAAATTGTGCCCATCCTTGTTACAATTTATCCATTCACGAATTTTTTTTTTGCCTATTTCAGTTCAATAGTTTATAGAAGATGGGATATTGAGTCAGATGGAACTAGTCGAGAGGAAGTTTGTTGACGGGAATTTAATATAGTATACTATCTTGGCGCCACTCAGGGTGACTGGCCAATTATGAGCTTCCTGTTGCCAATAACTGTATAGTTACCATTAATGAGTCTCTTGGTATCTTACAGGATCTCGTACTGCTCAGCTGACGCGCACTACGATCACGTCTTTGCCTTCATCGCCACCAACGATAATGAAACGTGCGAGTGCCATGCCTTCCTGTGCCCGAAGAGAAAAGCTGTGAGTACTGTACTGTAATGTACCTTGTCGAGTTTGATGAATAAATTATTAAAATGGATAAATTAATTCCTGGTAAATAAATTGATAAACCTGTGTGGGAAGGGGGTTACCCAGCCATGTGACTGCTAAATGTTTTACACTTACAGTAAACCTCTGGAACATAATTAAACCATACTTTCATTTACATACACTTTTGTTGGCAAATGGACATTAATATTTACAGTGGACTTGTGCATAATTCATCATATTAATTAAATTTGTATTGCCACGTTCAAAGTTGACTTTACACTGAATTGGAACCTCAGACACTAAACATCTTGATTACAAACAGTCCATAAACATTGATATACCAACTCTGCCTTACTGAATCATTCCCTTAACCCTTAACCGAATAAATTGTTTGGTGGGAGCCAGAATAAAAAACAATTCTTCGTTAGTACAGTACAGTACAGTACTCCTCAGGGTAACACATGTCATGGCAGATTGTGTGGTAATTAGAAGAACTGGGAGGAGTTGAAGATGTAATATATCAGGAATTATTGTACACTGTTTGATATAATGTACAAGTCAAGCTGTTGTGTTTATTGTGTGTAAGTTATAATAATTGACGTATTTACAGGCACAAGCAGTAACCATCTCAATTGCTCAGGCCTTCAACTTAGCGTACGAGTATTGGAAGATGGCCGTGGAAAACAAACAGAATGGGGAGATTTATGCACACGAGGAATTACCTGCTGAAGTTAAGGTAAAATGGGGTTTATGTCCCTAAATGAAAGAAAACAAGGGATCAATTTTAGAGGTAACAGCATTACAGTACAGTAGATACAAGTTATATTAGAATGTTGAGTGGGATCTTGTAGGATAGATCAACTACAGTATAGTAGCTATTGTATTTGTTAATTACTGGTGACTAGAAGGGTGTCAAGGTCGAGTCCATTCACCTCTCCCCCTGAACCACGAACCCCAAGATTCAGACTCCTGATTCTGAAGCCTCTATGGACAGAATAATACAGTATATCAGTACTGCTTCGGATTCACGAGTCTGAATCTCGGGGTTCGTGGGTCAGGGGGAGAGGTGAACAGACTTTGGTAGTTGACTGGGTTTGATATTACCTATTATTCTGGCAGTAGAGTAATAATGGTTGATTCTTGAAATGGTTGTAAATAAATTTATTGTAGTTTCAAGGAACATTGTAGAGAGATACACTTACTGGTAGCCCCTGGTGTATTGCTAATATGTTGTTTGTGAACTGAATGAAGAAAACCACATAACCGTCATGTATAGCCATTACCGTATACAGTGGCCCCTCGGTTAACGAACTCAATCCGTTCCAGAAGGTCGTTCGTTAACCGAAACGTTCGTTAACCGAAACCATTGTTTCAATGGGTTTTTGGGTAATTGGTTCCAGCTCACCGAAAATTTCCTAAATTCAACAAAAATGGTAGAAAAGTTCACTTACTTTGAGGTGTGTATGTAGAAGGCTCCTGGATGATGATGATGATGATGGGATTTAGAATGGGGGTGGAGGAGAAGGAAGAAGAGAAGGCATTGGGGTGGAAGAGAAGTCACCCCATGGTGCCATTTCACCCATAAAATTTTAGCTCTCTGGTTTAATTCAAGATTATTTTCTTTAAATCAACGCTGCACTGCATTATATATTGTCAATATATAAAATATATTTCAAAATGACCAATAATTTGCTTGGAAACACAGAAAAAAAGCGTTTAGTTGAAGAGAGTCTCAAGCAAGATGTTACCTCCAGTGAAAACAGAGAGACTAACGCCTGTTTGCTGTGTTAAGAGGCTGGATGCCGCCCATTAAACTAGTCACTTTACCTTCAATTTTGTTCAATAATTGTTAAAATGACTAAAAAATTGAATATTAAACTTTTAAAATTATTGAATAGTATAAACTTCTTGATATTTACAAAAATAGTAAGGAATTTAAGCCCTAGAACCGATTAATGTATTGGCGGACTGATACTAAAGCTGGTTGCCCAGTCAGTGCAAGCGAAAATATGTTGAGGTCGGTTCGTAAGAAGTTCGTTAAGCGAATTTTTTTTCGTTAACCGAATTGAAGATCCTTATGGAAGGCAGTTCGTTAATCGAAATTACGTTAATCGAGGTGTTCGTTAAACGAGGGGTCACTGTAACTGTATAAGACCGCCGTGTGGGTTATGCAAGTGGAAATTGGTTCATAGATAATTATAACCTGTATTAGTAAAACTCTGGAGCTACCAAATAAGAAGTTGTCATTTGAAATATTGTACTGTGTGTTAGTCCTCAGTCATGTTTTAAGTTGTTAGAGAAGTGATATCATATAAAGATTAAGAACATTATGCAGAGGTGATAATTTTGTATCATAAACTGATATGATCCAACAGGTGAGCTCGGCAGTGGTCCACAGCAGTAGTAGAAATGCCCACTCGCAGCCAAACAGCCAAACTTCGTCTCCAATTCCCATTCGTTCAGATTTTGGATCATCCGACATGAGCACTTCAGGTATGGTAATGTGATCACTGTCTGTAAGAGTCAATACCTCATTGTTCTGGTCTCCTTGAGCTTAAAGTCTTCATCACTCCTCCTGAGGCTTGATGGAACTCCCTCACTTCTACAACTGTTTTTTTTAGCTTTTTGTTTGGTATCTTGATTTTTCAATGCAAGATTTAGAACCCTTTGTACTCTTTGATCTCAAATTGTCACCCATCCCTTTGGTGGGAAATATGGAAATAGTACTTGCGTGAGATGTTTGTGCATGCATTGTCTGCCAGTTAAATTTAGCAGCACAACATAACTCTAGAAGTGAATTTCATTTTAAGTTAAGTTGTTGCTGTAACAAAACAAGATCTCAGGAGCTCAGAGTACGTGTTCTGGGTATCAAGTTCTATCTACAGGAGCGAACACAAACACCTGTAGAGTTTCGTAGGTTCTATTTACTGGATAAACAGATATGTACACAAGGGAGGTAGCGATCCTTACTCTGTCTGGGGGTCAACTAGTCTCTAGGCGACATGTGGTGAGTGATACATTAACAGCTTCCATATGTCGCCAGGCACATTAATTAAGCATGTGGGACATGGTAAATACATTGCCACACGCTGCTAGCTAGGTTGAATAAATAGTGTATACAAATGGAGCACATACATAATATACATACAGCATACATAATATACATACATAATATACATACACTCAGTAATCACGATTTTCTCATATTTTGAGGTATTGATCATCATTCATCTGTAGGAGGACATTAGATCCTTCATCACCACCCTCATCTCCACCTCTCTCCTGTATCATCACCGCTCCCTTGTCAATCTATGTATCTCCACCTCTCCTACCTGTATCATCACTGCCCTCGTGTCAATCTATGTATCTCCACCTCTCCTACCTGTATCATCACCGCTCCCTTGTCAATCTATGTATCTCCACCTCTCCTACCTGTATCATCACCGCTCCCTTGTCAATCTATGTATCTCCACCTCTCCTACCTGTATCATCACTGCCCTCGTGTCAATCTATGTATCTCCACCTCTCCTACCTGTATCATCACTGCCCTCGTGTCAATCTATGTATCTCCACCTCTCCTACCTGTATCATCACCGCTCCCTTGTCAATCTATGTATCTCCACCTCTCCTACCTGTATCATCACTGCTCCGTGTCAATCTATGTATCTCCACCTACCTCATCCTGGTATCATCACTGCCCTCGTGTCAATCTATGTATCTCCACCTCTCCTACCTGTATCATCACCGCTCCTTGTCCAATCTATGTATCTCCACCCTCCTACCTGTATCATCACCGCTCCCTTGTCAATCTATGTATCTCCACCTCTCCTACCTGTATCATCACTGCCCTCGTGTCAATCTATGTATCTCCACCTCTCCTACCTGTATCATCACCGCTCCCTTGTCAATCTATGTATCTCCACCTCTCCTACCTGTATCATCACTGCCCTCGTGTCAATCTATGTATCTCCACCTCTCCTACCTGTATCATCACTGCCCTCGTGTCAATCTATGTATCTCCACCTCTCCTACCTGTATCATCACCGCTCCCTTGTCAATCTACAGTATATATCTCCACACCTTCTCTCACCTGCTGTTATCACCCCATGCCACTTACTCAGGCTGTTGACCGAGTTACTCAGCTTTGTATGCTGTGAGTTAATGTAAATGAATTTGAATGTGCAAGTTGAGGATTTACTTTTTATGTTGTTTGAGGGAGTTCCTTGTACAAGAAAGTGTGCATGGAGTATTTTGTCTTGGCCATTTCCTGTTGCTTCTCACACTTGCCATGTTCCACTCTCTTTTACCATTGCCAACATTTGTTTTAATAAAGATAATACAGGGTGTCCATACATTTAATTATCTAACCCATTTTAAAACTTAATAACCTCAAAACACAGTATACGTACATCTACAAGTCAACTCGGAATTACTTTGCAATTATCAAGATAATATAATAAATATTGTTTCCAGGTTACCAGTCCAGCACACAAGCTCTGCTGATTGACCTGGATGATTCTTCTGACCATGCTGCCGCTGAGTCATCGAAAGTTAATCAGCTTGAGTGCAAGACTTCTGTTCTCAGTAAACCTTGGGTGGGTGCTTGTCTTGTGCTTATGTTCTAGTGTAGAGTGAGGGAGTGCAGTATTGTATTATAGTCAAGGTAGTATAGTGTATAGTCATGAGACTATACACTATACTACCTGGTACAGGGTTGGGGAAACTAGTGAATGTGAAACACTAGTTGTGCCAGATAGTAGATTTTTGGTATTTTACACATATTCACTGGAGCATCTATAAAGAAAGCTCTCGTGATAGTGCTTTATTCTCAATGACTTGGAGATAGACAGTTGGCTAGTACACAGTAATAACTTGACGAGATGGAAAGACTCTGAGGAAAATACTTTAAAAACTGATTTAGTATAAGGATTCTGCTGCTTACAATACTTCCCTGCAGAGACTTTTGTGGAAGCAACTCGGGACCTACTATTCATCTCTCGAGTTTGTCCTTAAATCAATTTATTCATCCCCTATCATAACCTAAACAGTAATTAACTTTTGTCTCCTAATGATAATTTAGTTTTAGCTGATGAGATTTTATATAAGGTCATAAGGAAAGATTCTATGTAATGGTGACAGGATTGCTTGATGCACATATACCTTAATGATATGCTGTCATTACTTGTTTTTTGTTTTTATCGATTCCTTTCCCAGACACAGTACAGTAGGCATGGGAGTGTAGCATATTGTGCATTTCGTTATGGCAAGGTAATGATACTAATTGGTTATTTCCTTTTGTATAAGGAATAGCGGAGACCATGTACTGTAGAAGGCAAGTAGATTAGAGGTTCCCAGTAGTTTAAACTGCTGCTTTGTTTATATTTTTCACCTTTACTTCCTATTACTCTAACAAACAGTTCATTGTCTTGTGACTTTATCACTGCCCATTTCTTTTGTTGTAATGGGTGACCTTGTCCATCAACATGCCAGGATTACTTTAGATGAAATTTCAATGTCTCTCAATGACATATAAAGAGTCTACAAGGAATTGAACAGGTTGACCTCACTCTTAAAGGTTTTACTGTGTGATGCATAATTATGAGGGTTGCTGCCCCTTTTTCTTCCTCGGTTCACATTATCACAAGTTCACCACTCCGTTTGCTGGGAAGTGCTCAGCTCGGTAGTGGACTCCACGTTGCCTCATCTTGCAGCTCCTATTGTTTTCTCTTAAAAAAAATTCCTTTAAGACTTCTATTGATATTTTTTTTTATTGCCTGTTTCCCCATTTGCTTCACACCTCAGTCTTCCTGTATCTTCACGCCTTTTCTTCTTGTTCTCAGCTTTGTATGGTATTTCATGTATTTGCCTCCTCCTAAAACATCTATTACTGTATTTACTCTCATCTGTATTTGACTGCTTATGTCATCTGCCTCATTCCTGTTTACTACAAGATGGATCCACCAACCTGCGGATTTATGATTACTGTACACTATGTACAGGGTGTATTTGTTTTTGTTGGATTATCAGCACGTGAGGATGTGTAGGTAACTGGTATACACACTGACTTTCAGATTTTCATGGCAGTGTGTGTGTACAATTACAGATTTGTGACATTACTTTATATATATATATATATATATATATATATATATATATATATATATATATATATATATATATATATATATATATATATATATATATATATATATATATATATATATATATATATATATATATATATATATATGTATATATATATATATATATACCGTATATCACGGCCTATAAGACGAAATTTGAACATTAAAAAAATCTGCCCAAAGTTAGGGGGTCGTCTAAACCACCAAGTTTAAAATTCTTACCTCTTAAATATTGTGGTTTAGTGTGTCAAAAGTGGTGATGAAAACATCGTAAGCCACTCACAAGGTCTTACCACTAATTATTTTATACTGAAACTTACGTTTGGCAAGCTGGATTCAAATTAAGATTACCGGTATATTAAAATAATAAAAATGTATTATAAACCTGTCTAACATACCGTAAAAGAGATTTATACCCCTATAATAAACACAGCTATCATCACACACCCCTCCCCATTTGCCAGTGAGGAGCCGTGGAGGTGGTCAGTAATGCATACCGGTATCGGTATATTTACTCATAATAATATTTATCTCCTATAAATAATTGATTTAAATTTTATTTTTTTCCAAAGAATATTCAGTAAATGAGTGCATTAATTCTTGAAACTATCGACGGTTAATTACAGACGCTCAAGTGACGTCACTAGTGTTTACACTACACCAGCTGGTAATATTTGATGCCATTACTTGAAGTGAATTGGCCTTATTTTAAGTAACTAACTATAAATAAATACAAAAATTAAAAAAAAAGATCAAAACTGAGAAATAATATACTGTATGTATGTTGTGTTGTCAAAGTAAGAGGAACAATTGTGTAAGTACGTAATATTTTTTCACTCAAATCCTAATGAAACACTACTGGAGAACATTCCTTTGTCGCAAAACAGTTTATAAATTAAAGAAAATAATTACAGTGTGTTTAATATATTACAGTATATTATAAATAAATAAATAAAACAAATAATTCGGTAAATCTATTTAAAGTAAATGGAAAATAAGCAAACATGTTATTTACCAAGACCCTTCCGTCTGGCTCAGGGTGAGATGTAGGGGAGATAAAGAAGGCTATTTATAGCCCATCAGAAGTGACCAGTACCCTAATGCACCATAAATAATTCATTGAACATTCATTTTTTGTACATAGTATATTCAGTATATATATATATATATATATATATATATATATATATATATATATATATATATATATATATATATATATATATATATATATATATATATATATATATATATATATATATATATATATATATATATATATATATATATATATATATATTTGTGTAATAAATGTATGTAGTAAGTACATACTGGTAACCTTTTTCACTCAAATCCTAATGAAACACCACAATTAGAATACGGTGGTTGCTGTTGAACCACATGTTGTATAAATAGTCACACCACCGAGACGAGGGAACACTCCCAACACGCTTCAGTGACGTCACTAGTGTTTACACTACACCAGCGGGTATAATTTGATGACATTACTTGAAGTGAATTGGCCTTATTTTAAAAAATCAAGGATGGTTGGTAAAGGACTACTGAGTCAGTGGGTAAGTGTCACATTTGGGGTACTGGTCTTATACAGCAAATAGAGCTCAAAAGCTACTTTTTAAATGGAAATTTGGGGGGGGCGTCTTATGCACCCCGCCGCCTTATAGGCCGTGATATACGGTATATATATATATATATATATATATATATATATATATATATATATATATATACATATATATATATGCTATAATAACGAATCTAATTGGTTCTAGAACCTTGTTCGTTACAGCATTCGTTCGTTATAGCATAGGATTAATCCGTTCCAGGCCCCCAAATACAACCACTTAACACTGAAAAATATAATATAAAATTGTAAAAATTGTAAAAAAGTGCATAAATATGCATCTAAACCCCTGAAATAAAGAATATCATTAATATTTGTAATAAAAAAACAATAAATTAGAAAAAAAAAAATTAAATAATGTTTGTTGTAGGAGTTTCGTTCGTTATAGCATTCTCAATTTTATAGGTAAAACCGTTCGTTATAGGAATATTCGTAGTAGGATCCGTTCGTTATAGCATACTACTGCATATATATATATATATATATATATATATATATATATATATATATATATATATATATATATATATATATATATATATATATATATATATATATATATATATATATATATATATATATATATATATATATATATATATATATATATATATATATATATATATATATATATATATATATATATATATATATATATATATATATACTTCGTTCCAGAAGGTTGCTCGTTAACCGAAACCATTGTTTCAATGGGTTTTTGGGTAATTGGTTCCAGCTCACCGAAAATTGCCTAAAATCAACAAAAAAGGTATTAAAGTACACTTGTGTTTGTGTGTCCGCACGAGAATCTCGGAAACTACATTACCGATCTGTGGTGATGATGGATGGTGTTATATGTAGTGATGATGATGGATGGTGTTGTATGTAGTGATGATGGGTGGCGTTATATGTAGTGATGATGGATGGTGTTACAGTATATGTAGTGATGATGGGTAGTGTTATATGTAGTGATGCCGGGTTGAGCTGATCAGATGGCGGTGAGAATTCTGGTTCCCTTGTGAACTTGACTTCTCTTGGGTCAGGTCTGGACCTCTCCTACTGAAATGGGTGTCTCTTGACTGGGTTGTTGGGTCGAGTGACGGGTGCTGGTTGATTCGCAGTTCCTTGAATTAACAAGGTCATGACGCCGGGTTGAGCCGATCGGGTGGCGATGAGAATTCTGGTTCCCTTGTGAACTTGACCTCTCATGGGTCAGGTCTGGATCTCTCCTGGGACTGTAGGGTGTGTCAAATTATGGACCCCTGATCAAAATTGGCATGACACGGTCTTTAGAAACACATTAATGACTTTAAAACACACTTGCACACACACACACACACACACACACACACCTACCTTTAAAAAATATTATCTTGCCAACTTTGAGCTTTCTGATTTAAAGCCTTTAGTAGAAGTTTCTTTTGAAAAAATTAACATTATATTGGAGTAAGTAGACCATCCCAGACACGGATAGCCAAAAGAAAGAGATTGTGGCGTATACTGTATTGTATGCTTCATCTATGTACTGCAATTAGTTGTTTGTATTGGAATTGCATGTTATTTAACCCTTAAATGGCAGTTATCATCAGTGGAAGTTAACTGTAGGAATGGGGGACTACATCAGTGAATGTTTCATGTTCCTTGCAGTTCCATTTTGAGCATGTTGGGGTGTTAGTAGGGAATCCTTAGCTCCTTTTTAATGGTTAAGAAAACTACAGAGCTGTAGAGGTCATCTAATTCATTGCTTCTTGAGAACATTTGATATTTTACATAAAATAAACTGGATCAAATTTGTGTATTTTATTTAATTTTGGATTTTATCTCAACACTGAAATTGTAAAGTGTGTGTTGACCTCCCCAGCCTGGAGGAACAATATACTGTATAATTACCAACTACAGCAGAAAAGTTTTAGGGGAATACTGTATGTCTAGTGTGTGTTATAGTAGTACTGTTGAGCATAACTAACCCCTCATTTGTGTGACTACTTAGCAGGATGCCTTTGGTGACTTCGATGACATTAGTGATGGCTTCTCAAGGTATGTTCCCATGCCTCGCCTCTTATTTGGCTACATCTGTGTCAAGTTGAAGATGTATATTTGATATAGAATTGGCCATATCTTTTGTAGTTGTACACGAAACTCCTAATCACAACTGAAGGGATCTGGTCCTAAAATATTACATTATTCTTGTATCAACTTACTATGTATCAGATATGAGCGACATGTTGCCTTAGTTTACTCCTTGACAAACAAATAACTGGGACAATTGTTAGCTTTATCCACGACTTTGGTGATGACCCAATGGTCCATTTTTTAGGTTGGCCTTAAGGCGAGAAGACCAGGCTCAACTTCTGCCTGGGACATCCCCACCGGGATGGGTCGATCTCGATCTTGCAGCATTCACGGATCACCCTCCAGCTTCTCCGACCGGGAATGGCTTCTGGCCGTCAGCTAGTTCCCCTCTTCCAAGCTCTACAGCCAGCTCGCCAACAGAGCCCTGGCTACTGGGTCAGTCTCCACCACATGCTTGGGAAGAATTCTCCAGGTCACCTAACACAGCCTTCCTTCACTCATGCCAGTCTCCTCCAACACATTTAGCATTCTTAAGGTCTTTACGGTCTCCTGCCAGTGTGACGAATAACCCATTTGTTCCTTGCGAGTCGGTAAAAGACCCATTTGTTCCAAGTGAGGTGGTGAAACATCCATTTGCTCCTTGTGAGACAATTAAAGACCCATTTGTTCCATGTGAAACAATGAAAGACCCATTCGTTTTATTAGACAGAGGGAATGATGCATTTAACTCGAGCCACAATTCAGAGAGTCCGTGTTGTCGTGTACAGTTTACAAGTGACCCATTTACCTCCAGTCATCCGGAGACCTCAAGTGCTACTGTTAGCCCTTCATCGCGGTCCATCAATGGCTGTGGGTCCGGCCAGCCAGTGTGGAGCAATGATTTCTTTGATAGTCCTAAAGGGAGCAAAGTTATATGTTCTTAAGAAAAATCGATAGAAATATTATAAACATTTGTATGTAATTTGTAAAAAGTAATGTTTTGGATGATTTTGCAACAAATAGACGAAAGGTTGGTGATGTAGTAGTAGTTGTATCTAAACAAGAATCTGGTTATCTGTCTTTTAAGTGCAGTTTTATTGGGAGTTTTCCGTAATACATTGGAAATACTGTACAGCTCTTTTTGTAATTACCGAGACATTGAATAATGCATGTAAAGTTTTAGTACTGTATTGCTGTTAAAAGTTTGAGTGGTGCTCTTAAAGTTTGTTCAGTAGTACAGTTTATCAATTTACGAAGTCAAAGTTTTGGTCATCATTCACATACATGTTACAAACCGTAGAACCTGATACCTTGTCATAAACATTCATTTAGTTGGTATTATTGTATTGTTCATCCTGGACTATGGAGAACAAAGGATTAATATACATTTTTAAATTTAAATTTAAATGCTTTAAAGATAGAACAAGATATATTTAATTTTGGTTGCTCTCGTTGGTACAGTATCATGCTAGGGACTTTCCTTATGATTTTTATCCTTGATACATGTTGAGTGTTGAAAGCAAATTATTATATCCATCAGGAATTGTTGGTCAATGTTGAGTTTTATTTATTTTAAAGTTCATATTGGTGCTGTTCCTCTCCAGTGTCATAACAGGAACATATTGTGGCAATAATTGTGGGAAAGTCATCTGATGTTTTCTTTGCAATTTATCTTCCCTAAATCCTTGTATACCCTGTACTGCACTCTACAATCTTAGAATATCAGTGAGTTTTAACACAGAATAATTGAGTATGCCGAGATGGTGCATGTTGGCGTAGGTTAATGTTTGAGCCTGGATAGGTATTCTGGCATCACAAGTGTTGGATCAAGAAATTTATTGTTCAATGTCAGTTATTGTAAAGGTACATGATGTAGCAGAAAAACATGGGGGTGATGTTATTGAAGTTTATTCATTGACTGTGGGTGGTCATGGAGGAAACATGCCAGTCTATTTCATCTGGTTTGTAATGCATATTTTTATTAAATATTCAACAGTTAAAATCTAGTACAAATGTTAAGGTCGGAATCCTCCACACTCAAAGCTCACAGTGGATGTGGCCTGGCAGTTCCTGGATTCCTTTTATTCTTGAAGTATTAGTTAGGATAGAAGATTTTATTTGGTGAATATTGTAAATATCAGTTAATATAATGATGACAGCAGTAATAACATTAGTATCACCTTGCAAACCCCCACACACAGCCCCACTTGTACATTCATTAACTCAAAACTGTATTGATACACGTGCACACATGTATGAACACTTGCACACAAATGCACAGACATGCTCGCATCTTTATCTTTTACCACTTTTCTCGTTAATATGGTGAAAGCTGCAGTATTAATCTCATTTTGGTGAATGATGTAGCTGTGCTGAATGAATGTATAAAAGATGATGAAGGAACAGTTCTTCACTTGTCCTAATAAGACAGTAGTAGGCAGGTACACAATTTTGTACTTAGCTGTACAGTATGTTACATTCTGGTCATAACAGTAGTCTAGAGTCAACTACAGTATTGTTTCTTCTACAAACTGCACTACAGTAAAATTAAAAAAAAAAAAAAAATTCTGTTAGGGAATAATTTGGAAGAGAGGTGTGTGTGTGTGTGTCGAAGATGACTGACTGAAGGAATGTAGCTCACAAGTTTAGAAATGTAGCTTGGTAAAGGATGTAAGAAGGTATCAGGAAGGTTATTGTTCTTTATTATGTGTGTGTGTGTAATGTTCTACGGGAGAGAGATTAAAGTTTATGCCTTACAGTAATTTCACCGGAGATGGTCTTGTTTACTTTGAAATTTTTAAGAAATATATGCAGGCATGGAAAGAATAGTTTGCAATGTGATGTATGATACACAGTATAGTCATAAGTGTTTATATTTGTCTTGGTGTATTTGGAACAAGACGTTATTTTTTAATGAAATGCTAAAATTTTGGTACTGATCTGTTATTTATTATGCCACGTATTTAGAGTTTGTCGAGTATTTGCCGTTTTGTCACTTGTTGATAAAATATCATATGTATTAGTATTAGTTTGAGAATCCTTTGCTGTGATATATTTGCTCAATGCTGCAAATTCCATAGTATTGAGTACATCCGCCTGTTAGTAGTTTTGTTCTATATTATCACGAATCATTATATTTAACCAATTAAAAAAAAGTTTAGGATTTATTTTTATGACAGTGATATTCTGTACTCAAGTTGTCTGGTAAAAATATTTGCACACTGCCTTATAGTGGGTTTGTGGAGATTGTGTGTACAGGATGTTTTTATTACAGCAGCAGTCCTCATGTGTGACCTCTATGGTAGACCTCACACATCAACAAGTGAGGACAGTGTTTTTGTTGTACTATAAACATTCATGCAATCTCTACAAAAGTCTGTAAGGAAGTGTACTATACACACCTAACCTAACCTGACCCTACATTAAGTATGTACTGTATATATACATATATATATACATATATATATATATATATATATATATATATATATATACATATATATATACATATATATATATATATATATATATATATATATATATATATATATATATATATATATATATATATATATATATATATATATATATATATATATATATATATATATATATATATATATATATACGCGCAAGTAAATCACTGTAGGTGTGCGTGATCTAGGTATATGCTGATAACCACAAGGAAAGAAGAAAACACGAAGTTCCCAAGTGCTTTCGTGTAATTCACATCTTCAGGGGTGAGTACAGACTAAAGAGAAGTACAAAACAAGGTGTATACATACAGAGGAGGGTGAGACCAGTTCCACAATGGTCAGGTATTAGGTAATGACCCTACTAATCTTTAAATAGCACAGCAATGGTCGGTAGTCAGGTCAGAGGGTAAGGTGACCCAACCTTCTCACCCGGTTACAGATCCTCTTAATTACAAAATTGTCCAGTTTGTACATGACATTACTCAAATTCATGTTGAATGCTTCGGTATGTTTAATGAGACTAGATTCTATGATGTTCCTAGATCTTTCATAGACAAATGGATGTCTTGCATGGTGTGTATTTAGGTTATAAGACTACGCACTGTCATAGTGCTGCCAATCTGTACTTTATACCTTCATTGAGAGTTAAAGCTGGTGTATTGCCCTCAACTGTAAGGTCATAAAATAATGTGAAAGTCACTGATTAAACCTTGGTACTCAAGGCTGAGGCAATGTAGAGTAAAAGGCTTCAGGTGTGAGCAAATGTTAAAGGACTGCAGTGCTTTGAGCCACAAGGTTTGATCACTGTTGTTGATGCAAGTCTAACTTAATATTTCTTGGCAGGTGACTGCTATTTATAGATTGTCTTAGGTGATGCTTTACCATCAAGTAATTTACTGAAGTATGACTTGCATAATCACATTTTGCATCCCTGCAGATGTTTTAACAGATGGTGTTGGGTTATGTTTCTTTTGTGGTCTCGAGACATTGGGTAGAAAATGTAAAGAAAATGTATCTTGATGGTTTGGATACAAATAATTATTAGTTTAATGTAAATTTTTCAATAATATTTTCATGTGTATAACTCGTTTCATTTGTTGACACTGTTATAGAGTGAGATGCCCTGGGGATCACAACAACTGACAATCTATATCAACCAAAACACTTCATATCCAGAGAGAGACACACTATGCCAGCTCATGTACATTATCACCTCCACAAGAAAGCCAAGTAAAGAAGTACAATAGGGTGCCTGGAGAGGATATAAAGGGAGAAATATGAGGTACAAGAATTTGAACAAGTTGATTGAAATAATAAAACACTACAGTACTTTACAGCCAAAGTCAGAGAAGTTGCAAGTATCTTAGGAAAGTTGAATTTTGTGAATCTGACATTTCCTATGACTTGACAGTACAGTATACCACCCTTACACTTCACAAACTATGTGCCCAGACAGTGTGTGTGGGGGAGAAGAGTTCTCCTCTTGGCCTGTCCCAGGTGGGCTGAGTTGGAGAGCAACCCTTTACTCTGTTTTGAGGGAGATGTATAAAATTATTAAGGCATTATTGGCAAACAACACAGTGACAAAATTTACACAATTTAAGGTAATTAATAATATTTTAAGAGTAATTTTATAATTTTTAGGCTAAAAATAAATTTAAGGTGAAACTATTGCCTTTTATGTAAAGCCTGACAAGGGAGTGTTGGCAGTGTTGCCATTTTAGCGGTTTTCTCGCTATATCTAGAGGTTTTGACCTATCTAGCAGGTAAATTTGCTGTCTTGCTGCTAGCGTTTTTTTTTTCTTTTTTTGCCGATTTAACAGGTGTCTGGTGAATTTCTATCGGTTTTAGTTATATAATTATACATGTATCTCCTGAAGAAATTAGTCGTATAGACAGTCGGTGGAAGGATCTCACTCACGTGAGGTGGAATGTAGTTTCACAAACTGCCTTGTTTTGGAATGAAGTACATAACTACATGGATGCATCACATTGTAATCCATTCAAGGAGTTGGCAGAGTTGCTCTATCAGTTCTCGTCATACCCCACTCTAATGCTGAAGTAGAAAGGATATTCAGCCAGTTATATATAGTGAAAATAAACTTAGAAACAGAAAGTGAACAAAAATGGCTAATGCTCTTCTTGCAATACGAGCAGGTTTGAAAAGAAATGAAAAGTCTTGTTTTGATTATGGGAGAGGTTTGAATAATAGACCAGGTTCCTTGCAGACTTTACTACTCCAGCGTCAGATGGTGACTGGCAACCGGGCGCTGCCACAGACAAGCTCCCACCTCAACACATGGGAAAACATATCGTACGATGGTACTCCATTTCACAATCTCGCAGATTATGAAATACCGGCTGATATCTTGAAATTGATTGGAACTAGTAATGCATACGTCTGCGAACCAATCCTGAAAACAAGAGCAAGTACATCTCTAGAGGAAACAGAGGCAGAGGAATTCGATTATTCCTCTCTTCTTGTTTTAAAGGTAGGCCATGCATATCCTTTGATGTTGATTATACATTCATATTACTTTGGTGATATGATTAAAACTACTTAAGTAATGTATAAGTGGGATAAACTTGACTAGAACTTAAAACTTTACTGTACTGAAGCAGAAGAGTGAGGGAGGACCTTAGATTAGATTGAAGTTTTAGACAAGTGAGGGAAGGATTTGTGCTACTTAATCTGCACTGGATTTATTTCCTTCATTTCTTACATAACCTAGGGTCAGGTTTCACTTTGTCTGAACCCAACCAAGAAGAATCTTCTTTTGACACCATCCGACCCATGGAACTTCATCTATCAACTAGAATTAACCTAGTGAAATCCAGTGTAAACAAATGGAGATGAAATTGTTCTGGAGCACCTGTACTGAGATTTTGAACAAAATCTATTTTTTTGGGACGAAATGCCAAATATTGTAAGGCTTACCCCTTACAGAATTTTTGGCCAAAATTTTTTTTTCTCAGAACTAAAATTTAATGTGCCTACCCGGTAACTATTTAAGTACATCCAGAATAGTACACAAGCACTAAGAAATGACCTTCAAAACCCAAAAAGTGGCAAGTAATTGGCATTGTCAAAAGTAATTCAAATTTTCTAAAAGCCATTTGAACAAGCAATAATCCAGATATCAAAATTTGGTTAACAGATCCTTACTCAGCATGTTCAGGAGTACCTAGACTGAGATTTTGAACAAAATCTAATTTTTGGACGAAATGCCAAAAATTGTAAGGCTTACCGCTTACAGGATTTTTAGGCCAAAATACTTTTTCTCTCAGAACTAAAATATAATGTGCTTAACTACTTAAGTACATCCAGAATAATACACAAGCACCAAGAAATGACCTCGAAAACCCAAAAGTGGCGAGTTATTAGCATTGCAAAAGTAATTAAAATTTTCTAAAAATCAATTGAACAAGCAATAATCCAGATATCAAATTTTGGTTAACAGACCCTTAAGCAGCATGTTCAGGAGTACCTAGACTGAGATTTTGAACAAAATCTATTATTTGGACGAAATGCCAGAAATTGTAAGGATTACCCCTTACAGGATTTTTGGCCAAAAATACTTTCTCTCAGAACTCAAATTTAATGTGCCTAACTATTTAAGTACATCCAGAATAATACACAATTTTAGCGGCCCATCTCCACCCAGTCTTTAAATGTAGAAGACCCAGTAGCAATGGTCATTATATTTGTAGCTATGTTGTGTATGATTGAAAAGTTATTGTGTTAGTGATGCATAATATTTAACTGTACAAGTATTAAGTTACAGGCAAAGTAAGCACTTGTTATTTAAAGGGAACTGATATCTTTTGCAGCTGCTGTAACAACAGAGAGAGAATGTGTTGCAGGTGAGGGCTTGCCGAGTAGAGAGAAAGTGAGATCACCTGAAGATTAGACACCCCAGCTTATATCATCTTAAGAGTAGAGTAATGATGCTACCTGCGGAAGGCTTGGTTACGTTATGGTGTCAAAATACAATTGCCGTATCCCCAAAATGTAACAAAATGGTGCAGTTGGGAGTCAAATTGATATCCTATGTGGTGGCAGAATGTGACAAAACTACATTGAATAGTGTGGTTGCTAGTGTAGTAAGCTGAGGTG